ATTTGAAAAATATATACAAACATGGATAGAGATAACCGAAACCAAAAAATTGCATAATTAATGAAATTAGCCAACCAATGACTTTGGAATATTAACATTAGACCAAAGTCATTGGACCAATGAGGGTAAAGATTTTTTTTTTGTAAATGAATTATGGCAAAGAAACTTAATTTTATCTATAATATTCCTTTATCTGATGCATTCAGATTTCAGAAGATGCTGCCAGCGGAGTCTAAAATCAGTAAATTTGGAGACAGAAAACCAAAGTAGAGTAACATGAAAAACCAAAAAATATGAAAAATAAAAAACGTGGTAAAAAACGCTAATCACATTTGAAATTTGAAAAATATTCACAAACATGGATATAGATAACCGGAACCAAAAAATTGCATAATTAATGAAACTAGCCAACCAATGACTTTGGAATATTAACATTAGACCAAAGTCATTGGACCAATGAGAGTAAAGATTTTTTTTTTGGCCAATCATAATGCTTCCATGCGATTTTTAAAAGATAGTTTCACCATGAAATTATAACAGTTTCACCACAAAATTAAATAAAAAAATTATAAATAAGTCTCATATAGTAAATTTATTTACAAATAAATCTCATAAAATTTAAAAACTACAAGCAAGTCTCATGAGACTTGTTTGTAATTTGTAGTTGGGATACAAAAGACAATGTTGGCCGTGTTAGTTTAGCTTTCATTTACAATTGTAACTTCACAATTTACAAGTAAAATTTCATAATTTACAAATGAAATTTCTTATTTAATGCTTCATATAATATGGAGTCTATATGGAATTAATTATGTCTACTTAATGCTATATTGGTCTAATTGAGATGTAAAATTTATAATTCACCATTGAATGATAACTTAAGGGAACATAATTATCTCTATAAAAACTTTATATTATATCAAGTTTTAAATAAGAAATTTGACTTGTAAATTATGAAGTTTTATTTGTCAATTTGTGGTTGTAAGTAAAAGCCAAATTAATAGGGGCAATATTGGCCTTAAACCCTAATCATAAATTACACTCAAGTTTCAAGTCTCAAGGAACTTGGTTGTAATATTTGAATTTCACGAGACTTATCTGTAAATAAATATACTGTATAGGACTTATCTGTAATTTTTCTAATTAAATATGTCATGTATAAGCATACTTGATTAATCTATAATCATCTAAATTATGTATACAACATTTTTCTCCTCAGGCTCATTGTGGCCAAAGATGGCCAGTCTCTCTTTAGCAGGTGAGATGAAGAAAAATAATGGAACAAAGGGCGACAACTAACCTTTCTCGACAAAGACAAGGGAAAGGACAAGTAGAGGTTGCGTCGACCAAAACCTAAATTGGACTTCTAAAATGGCAAAGACCAAGATAAGAAATTGTTCATGAAGAAATCTAAACCTCAACCCTGCCACTCCACCAACTACAATAACGATGATAAGGGAGGAGATAGTAGAAGCCCCCAAAATAAAAAAGACTTGTGTCACTAAATTTCATCTCTTACAACATACTTAGCAACCTTAATGTCTCTCTAACACACATTACCATATGCTAACAAATCTATGTCACTAAATTTCCCACCCCCTCAATCAGCCTTAAATGGACAAAAGGAGGAAGATGAGCTCTAAAACAAACTTGATATGTATCCCCATCGCCATGAAATCAGCAACACACACACACACACACACAAAAATGAAAAAAAGATGAAGAGATGATGGCATGCTGAAATAATTTCAATTTATCCTTTACTCCCTCAACCTTTTTGCCCTTTTGCCTTTTATAACACCAAGGATTTATCCTTCACTCCTTCAATCCGATAGTAAGTCGCATTTGTCATAGGTGACCTCATATGACCTTAGGCACATAAAAGTTGCTAGCAGCACCAATAGTGTAGGCGCAAATTGAGTCGTGCCTAGAAGGACACTATCCTTAAGAATTATTCCGGCATACTGAGACAATGGACTGACAGTTCCCCAGGATTAAACAAGCACTTCCTACGAAGTAAGAAACCATAATAGTAGAAACTAAAAATGAACTCAGATGAACACAAGAGCAGAAGGCAAAGGGAGGAGAGAATTGCCCCGAAAATTTAAGAAGTTGGTCGAGTTTATCTGTCTGCACCCATGACTATATACAACTTGAAGATGGAGACATGAATGTTGGCTCATAATCACTGGATTAATGGTTTGGTTACACAAGTATAAAATACCATTAATCTGGAGATGTTGGCTGACAAATACATTTAAGATATTAACTCATAAAATTAATTTTCAGAAGTGGTTTAACGCCCGAAAAAGTAGCAAGGCTTCAAATTCAAATTTAAAATAGTAAAATTTAAGGTTTTTCAGGTAAGCTAAAAATAATTATTTATTTAATTATTTTTGTAAAAATAATTCGATAAAAGGAATATAGTGATTTTAACTACGCTTGCTTTGAATTAGCCTATCTCATGTGTACGAACCCACTTCATTTTCAAGCTCATTTTACTAACTCACTTCATTCGTTAGTATATATACACTAAGAGAGTCACTCATTTAGTCAATGTGGGACTTTTGACTCACACACACACAACAAAAGCTACGTCGAGTAGACCCATAAAAACCACTAGTTCCTACAGTCGCCTCCACTGAGGGCTTTTCTCCCAGTAAGTTGTATCACCTATGTAGAACAATTCAGGCAGAGTCATGCAAGCATGAATTTCTTATTCAAAGAGCAAGTGATAGTTACCTGATCATTAAGGGACATTGCCGCTTTGAGAAAATTACTGCACTTGCATGCTATAGAAATGAAGAAACCAAATAGAGCACAAATGAAAGAATAGACAGGAAAATAATACAAAATTCAAAATAAAAGATAAGATGTGCTAGTTATGATGAATAAAAGGGAATGAACAAATGAACAAAGAATAGTGGGAAGCTGAATAGACGGGAAGAGTTTTTGAGGATTTTTTTTTAAAAAAAAAGAGTTGCTAAGGAGGGCAACGATTGAACAATAAGGGAAGAGAAACAGAGAGAAAGAGAAATTATACATCGTGTTCAAGATAAACCATACAAATGAATTCAACCAATAAGGAGAGAGGAAAATTCCATCTTGTATAATGAGGGATCACCAACAGCTAACTAATGGGTTGCGTTTTACAAGATTTGTATAATAAGGTTGATAAGGGTTTATTTATTGAAGACCCTCGACATCAATGGTAGAGTTTCTCAATCTCAAATTAATATTGAGACTTTTAATATTTTAACATTTTTTATTTCAAACTCTAGTTATGTTTTATTCTTAGCATTTTTTATTAGAATTAAAAAAAATAAAACATATTAGTTCTAGGGGCTTTAGCAAATTTAGCCAACATTATATGGCTAAATAAAACTAATAACCCACCTTTTCCTTAACTAAGATAATAGCTATTTTTTAATTTGCCTTTAATAGACAAAACTACCCTTAAACATCACAATACCTTGATTCCTCTTTTTCACATTGGTTTCACTTTCACCCACTTGAAGATGTGGAGGCGACTCACAATGATGAAGAAACTGACAGTACACAACGAAACATCTTACACCAATAGATAAACGGAGTTAGACATTCAACTAGGAGACCACAAGGACGCGAGGCGAGGCGAGATAGACCGGAAACTACAGATTTAGGTTGAAAAATCAAAAATGCGAGGTAAGGAAGTCCAAAACTGCAGCTTCTACGTAAAGCCACACTAAAGCTACAGTTTCAAGGTGAGGAAGTCCGATTAAACTCTATTACAAAAGTTAGAGTTCAAGTAAGGGTTTCTTGAGATTTTGTTTTATCTATTTTGAGAAAATAATTATGTGTTTTCATGTTACTGATTTGCGATACTACATCATTGATATATGATTCTAATCAATTATAAATAAGTTTATGTTTGATTGTCTAGTTATATTGATACACGCTAGTATATCAGTGATATACTATTATATATCACTCATATATATAAGCTATATCAGTGAAAACTTATCAATTTATTTATCATTGATATACAGTCGTATATCAATGATATAATATCGCAGATCAGTAATGGAATTTCTTTTTTAATGTCTAATGTTCTCTTCGCAATATTTGGGAAGAACAGAGAGGGAGAGAGAGGAAAAGCCCTGCGATGAAGACGGTGATTCAAGAAAATTAGATCAAAAATTTTGATAAAGAAAAGCACTATACGAGAGATGAATATGATAATCTAGGAAAATCAAATCTAAAAATATAATGAAAAAATATTCAAAGATGATAAATTTGAGAGGGAGCACGCACAATATGATTTTTGATGATAAAAATGAAAACTCTAATTAGCTAAATATTAGTTAAATTAAATATATTTTGTTTTAATCATAAACTTATTTTGAGAATACAAAAAGAAAACACATTTAATTAATTTTATGAATGAGCCATATTTTAAAATATTTAAAAACCTCATTCATAATTTATGAGAGTTGTATTTTTTAAGGCCATCGGGCTAATTTTCTCTTAGTTCTATCTAAAAATTAAATAGATTTTCTATTTTATTCATATTTTCTTTGATATTCTTCAACTCAACATTACTAACTCTATTCAATTTGCAGTGCCGTTACTTGAAACACAAACTGTTATTATACCCGCAATAGATATATTCTTGAAAAATTTCTTGCATCAATATTAAATAGAGGTAAAAGGACAAAATTGTGTGAATACCGGAAAAAAAAAAGGAGAAAATTTTGCTACATTCTGTTAAAATATATTACATTTTTAAACTACTTCACAAAGATTTAAAAAATTATTATACTAAAAAGAAAGGCCTTACTCGCATACCAAAAAGAGCATAAAGCTGTCAAATTTTTATACTATGTTAATTGGCCGGAAAAAAACATGTAAGTTAATTTAGGATTTAATTTATTTAATTTTCCTACAAAATAGCGTACTCCTACGAGTGCTGATTTGAGATTTCGCGCCTTCTTGATATCTGTGGGACACGTCATCCATTTTGAAGCTAAGCTTTCTCCACAAGCTTTGCCTCCCCGCGAGGCTTGCCACTTGAGCTCTTGATGTTCATGTTTCCAAATTATTCGTTCGAAACTTCTGTGCCGTCAAGAATTATAGAATCAAGTTCGCAATGAGAAGATCCACCAGAAGATCTCTCATTACTCCCGCTGAAGTTGAAGAGCCGGTACAATCTTCACCCCTTTTCAATTATCGTTTCAGTTTCGTTGCGTCTAAAGCTTAATAATCTCTTCGGTTTGTGAGATAGCATTTGAAACGACAAATTTAACAACAATTTCTTCCCTTTTTAGCGGATAACTGACTTTCTCGATGCCTATTCTCTGTACACTGTAAATGGGCATGCTTGATTGCTTGGTGTCGTTAATATTCTGTTAAAATCCCCCCAATTACTTAATCTTGTTCCAATTGTGCGTTTCATAACATGACCCTACGCTATCTCTTTAGGCGAGGAATATCAGTACCAGATTCTCCTTGAAATCGTACGTGAAGCGAGTTCAGCTGCTCACGGATGACCAACGATTAGCAATAACAAAAATGGGGTTTGGGAGTGTGTTGTTATTTCCCAATCATCTGCTCAGCAAAAATTTGTTAGCTGAGCTAATGGAAAGATGGGACTGTGAAAAGCAAGCGTTTATTTTTCATCTGGGTGAGATTTCGATGACTCTGTTGGATGTGGCTCTGATTTTGGGGTTAAGGGTAGTGGGGCGCCCTGTGCTCTTAAAAGACGACGAGCCTTTTTCCGATTTGGAAGAGGAATACGGGGCAACCACGTCAAACAGGAAGGTCACAGTGGCTTCACTTGAAAGCAGATTGGATTCTCTTGAAGACTCTGCTGGTGATGATTTCATCAGGGCATTTCTACTGTATACATTTGGAACTTTGCTTTTTCAGAGTTCAAATGGAAAAGTAGATTCCCGCTATTTATCCCTTCTCCGGAAATTGGATGAGGTTCGTCAATTTGCCTGGGGAGCTGCTGTTATCGAAGATTTATCCAAGTGGTTGGACAAGAGGAAAGAAAATAACGTGCAATATGTGGGTGGTTGTCTCATGTTTCTTCAAGTAAGTTTAAGAGGATGGCTATTTTGTTAATTATATGATGGACTAACACATTCTCATGTACCAACATTTATTCCCTCATCATGTTTATGTTTGATTCATATTTGGATTTCATATAAGTTGTAACTAGATAATTCATGTCATTGTCAATCAAATGTGATTGGCTAACTTGTCTTTTTTCTTGTTTATGGAGAACAGACATGGTCTTATGAGCATTTTGACATAGGCCGGCCTGGCATGCAAGAACATGATTTCGCCTTTCCTCGTTTATGTCGATGGCATAACAATAAATCTAATCAAAGACAATGGTTTGCTTCAAAGTTTAAAGATCTGCAGGATGACCAGGTAACTGAAAAACTTGGTTTAAATTTTATTCTGTTTTTCATATTGGCGGTTCCTCCAGTGGGAAAAGCGTATGTACTGACTGAAGTAGCAAAAGCTTTATGCATCCTCTAATCTGAAGCTGCTATTAAAAATGTTATTTATATGTTTGAATCCAATGATGGTGGCAAATGCTTTCTAAAGCTGCTGAGAAAATCTAGATGAAGAAGTGGGTTTTAATTCCTTTATTATCTGCATGTGCAAGGTAATTTGGACGCTCCAACCTACTTCCCGAGAGTTGGAACTGGACATAATCAAAGAGGCATTGGAGTTACAAGATGACACTAAGAGGCTTGGAAGTGGACCAGACTGTCCAACAAGTACACCCATCAGTGTAAGTTACATTTTAATTAAAGCGGACAAATTTAATTAAAATCGATTCATGCTATTAATAGAAGTGATTTGTCTCCGGACTTCTTTTGTTTCAAATCTAAATAAATCATCTTTCTGTTCTTCTGGAACTTCCATTTCAATTCTTTTGCATGCATGTCTCTGTTTCTGATGATGATTGATTTGGAGTTGGATGTATGCAGGTTCCTGATGTAGATTCAGGACTACAACACAGCGCTTCTAAATCTCAGGAATTACAAAAAGAGCAGGAGGTCAATTTTGAAAACCAAATAGTGGAGGACACTACCACAGAGTTGAGCCCATGTGATAGAGTTCATAGAGATGTCAATGTTGAAAACTTGATAGTGGCGGACACTCCGACAAAGTTGAGTACATGTGATCGAGTTCATAGAGATGTCAATGTTGAAAACTTGATAGTGGAGGATACACCCACAAAGAGCAGCACATGTGATGAAGTTGATAGAGAGTTTGTAAACCTAGCAGAAGAGGATAGCCCCACAGAGAACGTTTGTGATCAAGTTTGCAGAGAGCAGGAGGTCAACCTTGAAAAGCTGATTGTGGAGGACACTCCGACAAGGTTGCACATTTGTGATGTGAGATTATATATCATCGATTTTACTTTATATACATATCTGCATTGAATCATGAAATGAGAAACTTATTTGGGTACCAGGATGATTTGAGGGAGAGACCTGTTATGTCAGAAGACAAATATGCTGAATTGAAGGAGGAAATGGGCCGATTGAGGGAGGAAAATAGACTTCTTCAGTGGCAGGTTTCTTTAAATTCGCAATTTGAGGCACAGAACGCTGAGTTGAAGAAAGAGCTGGACATCTTAAGGGAAGAAAACCAACGGTTAAGACTCTTAATAAATAATTACGTGATCCGAATGGACAACCACATTTTGTCTGCAGAAACAATTGAAACTGAATAAAACATCACCTGTACTTTATATCGTAAAGCAATTTTTATCGAATAAATCTTCTCCCTTCCTGCTTTGTTACCTTGAAAGTTGCAAGACTATGGTTTCACATTCTTGGACCCTTATTGACAGGCATTCCATCTGCTGTAGACTTCAACCTTAAGCGCTTACCTTGAGGGTCATAGTAACAGCTATCAGGCCACCTCACTCATGATATCCTCAAAGGCCGTGATGTTGCCCTCGTGTCAGGCAATTTCAGTTCTTTGCCAAGGCATAAACTTTGCTTGGCTACGTGTATATATATTTGTTGCTACAAAACTGAAGAATGTAATATAGGTTCAGCGGTGTAGACTGTAGACTTGATCTTGAAGTTGCAAAGACGCTGCTCTCAAATGAAGCCCTTGCAGGTAAATCCATAGGTGACATTATTTATTTTCACCCTTGCTGTATATTTTTGGGCTGCTCCGTTTTACAAGCAGATGGTATTTGAGTCAATAATTATTTGTTGTAGGTATTAGTTGTCATTACTTTAAGGCATAGAAGTTCGCTATTCTGTGATGTTGCACGGAGATTTCTTTAGTGCCAATGTATCTCTTCATTTGCGTTAAGACCTGGTAGCATATTTCTTTAGTCCCCTTTTCTTTACTACCTCTGGACCTATTTGTGAGAAACAAGTAGTAGTTAAAATTTGAATAATTTTTTTCTTGTAAATAGGCTTAGAGGTAGTATGTTCTAACTTTTTTCAAACTCCTTGAAGGTTCAGGGAACTTGAAATATCCAAAGTGACATTTTGAGGTACAAACAATTATGATGAAATAAAGTTTTCAAATCAATTGCCAACACAAACTGCATATCATTAAGAAAACAACTGCTTGTACATTGCATTACTCTATGCCTAGAGCATAGGAGCACACAGAAGCAGCACGAGCATTACTACTGCCCAGAGATACAAGTAAGACTAGTAGATCATGCTTCAAAGAAGCAATTTCTCTAATGATTTTTCATGTGGTTTGTAACCACTTATTCGCGCGCATCCAACTACATCCCTGAGTAACTCCTCCGTCAACCTCACTGCACTCTGCAGCGAAGAAAAGAGAAGCCCGTAAAAATCAAAAAGGCCAAAAATAAAGGGGTATATAAGTCATGCAGTCCAGTATTGCAGATTACCTGTTTCATTATGCCATATTTTAATACTATCGGAACCTTACTAGAGATGGCAGTTAGCAGTAGCACGTGGTTAGGAAGAACTCTTAGGCAAGTTTGTTTGTGTAACATAGAGACATATAAGCATGATGAGCACACAATAAAGTGGGACCAATATCTTGGTCTTGGTCTTAGTCTATCGATCATTTATGCACCAAATCTACCTAAATTTTTCACAGTTAAATCAGTCAAGTGCATCAGGCAAACGCACCACAAACATTGATTGTAGTCTAGTGGTAAGGAGTCTGGGTAGTTAGCATTGTTCACATACAAGTCAGGTTCAAATATTTTCTCTGAGAAAGGGGGGGGGGACAATGAGAATTCAAAATACCTGCTACAGTCAATATTGGGGCTGATCTGGTAGGGAATGTTTATCCCACATTTCCTAGGAAGACTGGCTGCGAGGTTAAGATTGTTGTTATTGTAAGGGATATTCCTAATAGCATTCTTGATGCAGCTGCAAACAGTTTGGCGGTCAGGCGTGGTCTGAGCCTGGCCAAAAAGGGTCTTGACTCCATTGCAGCATTGCCCCGGCACGGTGCCGCCATTGATTATGTAGGAAACACATGGTGTCAGGTCGTTCATCACCTGGTTGCATGTCACTGCGTTGGCCTTGGGAGAACAAAGTGCTAGGCACACTATCAATAAGCTAAGCAACCTCACCGCAAGTGAACTAGCCATCAGTCTGTGGTTTTATGCAAGATGGTAGTTCAGAGTGCAGGCTTTGTGTCTTGAGATACGTCGTTAGTTAAGGTCTCAGCATATGGTATTTATAAAGGCGGAGAAGGGGTATTTAGACAGACAGGGACTTTAGGGCTTTGTTTGGAATGGGAAGAAAATAAGAAGAAAAGCAAACTAGTAAAAAATCACCATATGGTGAACTAAAGTTTGAATCTTCAAGGGTTGCTCACATTTACGTTGGATTGCGTCTCAAATAAGATTGCCTCTATAGAAGAATATTTATGACTATGACCAATAAAAAAAAAAGAAAAAGAAAAGAAAACTAGGAAAGAAAAGTACATTTTTCACTATTGTTTTTCCTAATTTTGCCGTAAAAGGGCAAAACTTAAAAAAAAAAATTGTTAGGGGGAGAAATGTCTTTTTTATATATTTTTCTATCTTAGTTTTCTCTCCTCATTTTCTTTTCCAAGGGTAAACGATATAGGTAAACCAGTCAATCATCAAAGAGGAGAAGCTGGTTGACACTATGATAGGTGGTATTTGAGAATGAACGACATTCAATACAGTTTACAATCATCTTATCTTAGATAGGTACATAATGTGAGCGCGAAATATTACATTCAATTATGCGAGATGAATTTATGAAGGGAAACGGAAAGAGAAAAAGAAAAACTATTTTGTTGTCTTTCATTAGTGAAACTGCATACAACCACATCAGATGTCTGAGTAAGTTAGTCTCAAGATTTCCATGTTTGGTGCGATCAATTAAATTGAAAGTTATGATAAGAAGGGGTACAATTTGAATTGTATTCAAGTTAAAAAGCAGAAACTGATATGAGATCTTCATTGCTGAGTTGTATGAGATACCCTTGAAAGATATTGTGTTGGGTAAGGAATTTTCAAACACTATGATATCAAACATAAGCACTATGTGGTTATGGGGCGGATATTGAAATATTATTTGAGCATGATATATCATAGGGTGGGAGGGAAGCAAAGCAGATGGTGGGACAAGGCACGTGCCAGGGATTGTATGGGTAGATGGGTTAGTTCAGAGCCATAAAGAGATGTGGTTGGGCAAGTTAAATGCAGTAATTAGGCTCTGTAAGAAAGAGCGGATAAGTCTGTGCCTTGCTAGGAGGTAAACGAAGCAAAATATCATACGGTTCTGGGCATCACTGCTATTTCTGTGAACATTATTAATGAAACAAAAGCCTAACTTTATACCCACACTTTTTTTTTTTTCCCTGGTTAACAACTTTATCCCCATTCCCCACCTTGCTTCTGAGTTTCCAGGGAATGAGTAATGAAGTTAGGTAAGAACCGGGGGATATCGCCAAAAATAACTGAGCAGCATTAAGTTTCTGGGTTCATTTTGAAAAGGCAGTGACAATTCATGGTGACTGAAGTGACAATTCAAATTCATGGTGAGTTGGTGACTAACCTTTGTTTAATGCTTTGTTCTAAAAATGCTAGTGGGTGTCTAGATGAATTGTTATAATAATAATAATAATAATAATAATAATAATAATAATAATAGTCTTATCAGAAAAAAATATGACATTTGGTTTTTAAACTTTTTTTAATTATTAATTCAGATTTTGAACTTTTGACTTAATAACTCAACTTCTATAATTTCTTAACTTGTATGGCTTTTTGAGATGTAACAATTTAGTTCTTATATTTTTTACTTAATAAATTATAAGGACCGGCTTGTAATAAAATAAGGTTTAGAGATTGAATTAATAATTAAAATAGAGTTTAGGGATTAGAAGTTATATTTTTTTAAATCTTATTATCTTAATATTTTCCCAAATCAGTAGCTAAATGTTGGATAAATAAATTGACAATGTATTTTTCTTTTTTAAGACTAACTTTTGCGGTAATTAGCATGAACTTAATATATATATATATATATATATAATTACCCATTATTTATGAACCTCTTACCGGTTTAACTGGTGGTTGGTATTTCATATCTTATTTGTATTGTTGAATTTTATTAACTGATTAAACGTTTGGCTTCATTCGAATTAAAGAGGCTGGTTAAAATTATAAAAAATGGTGTCATTTAGGATTTTTTATTTTATAATATTTTCATGTACTTCTGTTCATGAAGGAATGATTCATTATGCATTACTTTTTAAATTTTATTATGTCCCCTTATTTTTATTAACACGGTTTTCAGGTCAAAATAAAATTGGCACTGTTTCTCATGTATCGCATCAAAGGGCTAATATTAGCTTCCCAAAGTATCCAAACATTTGTTTTTACTATTTTTTAAAATTTAAATAACGTTATAAAATTTCTCAAACCAATTTTTTGGTCTAAAAATAAGTGAACTTTTTTCATTATAGAAAGCTCAACTACTTGGCGGGGCTCATATTGTTGTATTGGGTCCAATTATCTGTTAGGTATTGCCCATAAAAAAAAAACAGACATATAATGGGGACCAATGGAAACGAATGCCATTTTTTAAAAATTTATAAACGTTTTTTTTAATTTAAAACGTTTTTGTTTAAAAAAAAAACATGTGGATTGTGAGGATTCTTCTAACCTTAGTGAATGAGTTCTTGCCTTCTTGGGACTTAATTCACCTATCTTTTTTTTTAAAAAAAAAGTATCAATTTTTTTAAAGTATCATTCAGATGAATCATTTGTTTTCATTTTTGATAATTTGTTTGCCTTTTCTTTTCTATCAAGTTTTACTTGGATAACACTTTTGCAGACGATCCATATCAGCTCTTCATTGGTTCTATCTGATAATAATAGATCATATTGCTATAAATTATCTGAATTTTATTTTTGTTCAATATGAAAAGTCATTAATTAGTTTAAGCAAAGATTGTCCACAGGACTATTCGTATATGAAATATATATATATATATATAGTCCTTTTTTGGGAGAACATATTTATAGCATGATCAAATTTAAATCTACAACATAATAAAATTATATAATTTCATAATATCAATAAGATATGTGATTTGTTAGGTTGATAACATTTATCATCATAGTTTTTAACAGCTTCTACCAATTTTATTTTTTCTTTAAAAAAAAAACTTTCAGATCTTAATTAAGACACTTTTCATTGCAACATAAGGATTTTGATTATATAAAAGGAGATTTCTTTTCGGGGCAAATATGAAAGAAGGATTTGAAACCTTGTCTACTTTATACTTCTTACTCCCTACATCTCAAATTATAAAACACTTTTAGATAAAATTTCACATATCAATAAGCATCATTGAATACACTTAACAAACTTATCCTTTCAAAACAAAAATATAAACTTCTCATAATATTCATAATTTAATATATTGAAAAAAAAAGTGATTGAAATTAATTATAGAGAGAGAAAAATAATATTAGAATTGTACATTTAATGAAACTTTAATCAATTCAAGTTGTCTTATATTTTGGGATGAATTTTTTTTAAAAATGCCTTATAATTTAAAACAGAAGGAGTATTTCATATTGAGGGGGTGATGACCTATTTGAATTTGATAATAATTACATATATAGATTGATGATTGTGCCTAAAACGCTATATATTGTCAAGTAATTATTGCCCTTTTAGTTGAAAATAAAAATCATAAATAAGGTCTGTCCAACTGATATGGACAAAGGCTACAGTTCATACTGATTTATTAGAAGAGAACCTAATTACTACTAATTAAACAACAGACATACATACATACATACATACATACATATATATATATACATACATATATATATATACATATATATATATGGGTGACAAAACCAAATTATTGACCACAATCAACGCATCATAAATTATTTCACCAAGCTCGTTGACATTCACAGTCATTGAAGTTATTATCTCTTCAATATTTATTTTTTTAATTTCTTTTTGTACATGACCCACCATGTGTCCTAAGACATTAAGCTATAATTAGGTTCTTCAATCTATGGTTAATCTAAACTTGAGCTTTTATTATGTCTAAATTAGGGAGAGTTTTCTTTTAAAAAAATAGTTTTTCTATCATGAAACTTTCATAAAGTTAGAAGAGAGAGGAAAACATAAATAAAAAAAAAAAACATCGGAAACATGTTCTTTCTTCATATCACATTTTCTTTTTACCACAGTGACATATCAGGATTTTAGGTACAAAGTTATATTTCTCTAATTCTATCTATAAGTAACTTTTAATATATTTTATTAAAATTAATAAAAATTTTAAAACTCATTAACAAAAATTTAACAATTTTTTAATTTTATTTTTATTAAATATATATCCTTTAATAATATATATTTTTCTCCAACATTCAACAGAGAGCAAATGAGAAATTTTTTTATGAAAATTTAATGAAGTAATTTGTGAATATGACAAAAAAATTTCTCACTCTCTAACCTATAAATAGAACTAAGCATATCCTCTAAACTTGGCAAACTGATAGTTTGAGACTAAATAGAGACGATAATGACGTCTTACAACTCTAAAATTTTAAAATGTTAATTAGAAATTTTAGTCTTTTACTTACATTTAAGAGACAGAAAAAGTCATTTGACAAATAGAAATCTTCAAAGTCTGGAATTCTTGAAGCCTCAGTTAGAATCATTTTCAATTAAATAATTTTCTCATGTTCACTCATCCAACATTTTCAACATGTACTTATTTTATTCTTTCCAATTTAGCTTTTGACAATTTTAAAATTGAAGAAGAATATATATAAAAAAAAAGATTCATTTAAAATGATCCCAATTGTGGCTTTTGGGATTTCTAGCTCGTATCTTGGTATTTTCAGCGGAGGCTTCCCAGTTTTCAACTTATACGTGAACGAGGCATCTTGTTTTTCCCCATTGTCAATATATAAAGAACAAGGGTCGTTAATTGACATTTTACCATTTTGGAATTCTAAAGTATCATCTTCTTCTTATTGATCCCAAGGTAAAGCATTATTTCTCCTTGATTTTTTGGAAGGATCTATAATGCAGTTTAAAGGGTCAAAGAGCTGTATACATGGAATATCCAAAAAATTGTAAATTAGTTTCTAAATTTTGAGGTAGTTAATTCAGATGATTTATGATTTGTAAATTATGAGTTATCATATATTTGATACTATATAGAAAAATATAAATTGATCATAACATGAAGACACTAACACCTTTGTTTAGATTTTAAAAAAAAAATAGGGGGAGAGGCTTCAAATTGAAGGGTTTTGGAGGTTATGTTAATATTACTTGGTTAAAATTTAAGTAGTGTGGAATTCAATTAAAGCAACTCTCTTAAAAATGTTGTATATATTTGTTTGAGTTATTGGTCATAGTCCTTTTTATTATAACAAAAAACGCGTGTTGATTGCCTTGACATTCTTTTTTTTTAATAATAAAAAATTTTAATTGATAAGTTGAATCCTAAAACTTATGAGGCCGGGTTGAGACATATTTTCAAACTCAAAAAATATTTATAAAAATATTTATCATTATCAATTAAATTCAGCTTCTGGGTTGTTATCAATCAAATTCTTACCAAATAGAATCAATATTTTTGCCGTCATCCTGACATGTTTTTAATTGCTAAAGCTATTATGGATGGTAATTTGGAGGCTAAGCAGTTGCTAGATTCTTTCTACTAACTACTATATGTTTAAGGATAATCCATTTTATTAAAATAAGTTAAGTCATTTAATTAAACACATTTTCAACTTTATATATTGATAACCCACTTCTAGATGTGAGATTTTTTTTTAATCTTTAATATGAGTCAATTAATAAAAGTAGAAACTAACGGTTAAAAATAAGATATGAAATTACTACATATGTAACTCGCACAGGCGAGAAACGACATATACATTAGATTTAACTAGAAAACACAAAAACTACATTTTATGTAATATAAAATGAAAACTAAGCTGTGGAAGGCCTCCGAGTCATCACAACAATCACTGGTAGTAACCCTCCTTTATTCTCCACTGCCATACTCTCTCATATAGGCTCCTCCAAATATGTGTGTGTGTGTGTGTATATATATATATATCCTCATCTTCAGAACTTGATGCTGCCATTTCCAATACAAATAACAACTCAGTATTTACTATTTACAAATAGGAAAAAAAAAAACAACACACGCACAACGTACGGCATGTCTCATCATCACAATATAATTGATAATTTGAAAATTTACATTTTTGTAATTATTCTTTCATTAAATATGCTGGAAAAATGTTTTAATAATAATTAAAATTTTAATGTATCATTTATTTTTAAATAATAATAAATTAATTAAAAATATAGTTTAAAAAATGATTATGAAAACTAACTAATGTAAACAAAGTTTTTAGAAAATATTTTAGGAAGAATTATAATTAGATCTCATAAAAAAATTAATTATTATAAAGTCTATTTTTATTAATAATTTTAATTCAGTTATTAATAAATTTTACAGTAATTAATTATTTTTTTAATGAAATTTCAACGTAATTCTTCTGATGTTTTATAATCTTGTCCCGCATGAAATTAGACACGAGAGTGAGGAATGATAGTAGGAACCTGGCGCAGTTGGTGGAGGTGCTGATCTTGTAGGGGATGTTGACCTTGCAGGCGGAAGGAAGGTTCTGGGCGTTCTTATTGTTGACGCCGGAGACCGTACCGGCGGCTTGCTTGAGGCAGTTGCAGACGGCCTGTTTGTCGGCGGTGGTCCGAGCGCCGGAGGCCAGGGACTTGATGCCGTTGCAGCAGGCGGCTGAGGGAGAGCCACCCTTCTGGAGATAAGAGAGGCACGGCGCCAGGCTGCTGGTGACCTGACCGCAGGTGATGGCGTCGGCCATGGGCGCACCGATCAGAGCCACGCACAGCACCGCCAAGCATGCCACCTTCACCAGAGCCGCCATTGCTATCTGATTCCTAGAACTTGAACGAGGCTGCTAATAATTAATAAGTGCTTTGATATCGTGGTTTGGGAATTGCTTGCTTGCTTGCTTAGTGGTGAAGGGTGTGCGAGTTTATATAGACAAATTCTCTTGGACTTGGTTAATGAAAAATTTATTGTCATCTTAATTTGGTGTTTTAATTTTTAATTAAGTAGCAACACCATTTTCCGTACTACTGGGAACTCTCTCACTGGATTCTTCATTGCCTTGTTATGGATGCTGCTGATAACGAGATGTGCTGACATGGATTCTCCTAACCGTTTTTATTTATTTTTTTTAAAAAATCTTTAGTAGTCAAAATTAAAGTAATTTGCTTTCTTAGACATGTGATGAAAAAGTAAAGATTCACTCGCATGTCAAAAAGTCCTGAATTTCTCTAATCCATTAATTGAGCAGATGGTTATGGGAATGATCATAACTGATACTTCATTTATAATGTAATACTAGTTGTTGAAACAATAACTTCAATTGCTAACTTGTTAACTATTACTTGCTTAAATCTTTTTCAAAAATACAATTTCTTTAGGGTTCTTCTTTAATATTCTCTCTAGAATGAATCTTGTTGCGAAGCAGAGAATCTTATATATGGCACTCTGATTTCCCACCTCATTCTTTGAGTTGTACACAATCCAATCCTGGATAGACATGCAAGGAGAAAAGAAAGTATTTAACTTTTAAATCACATTAACTTTTCCCTCCAATTTTAAAATATAAAATTACTTTTAAAAAATAAAAATAGAACAAGGATGCATATAAATTTAATTAAGAAAAAAAAAGAATCAAATGAAAGAGACTATAAAACACCTTCACTAGATCTCAAGTTGGTACTTGGAAGCAGCATAAGGACTCATCTGTTTAAGGTTTCAGCCTACTAAAATTGACATGAGTAATAAATGTTCTCATCATTTAAATAACTGATTAGAATTTAAATTTCAACCGTTATATATATGTGTGTGTGTAATGATTTAATTAAGAAAAATATATCATTTAATTTACTCTTAGTATTTCAAAATATATTATATATGTTATGGGCAAAACTTACTCCTCACGGCAAAAAAATTCAAGGCCCAATGATAACTGTGTGTAGATGGTTTGATAATACCACCTCCTATCTTATATGTACTTCATTCTATTTTGATTATATAACAAAGTTTTAAAACCTTATTTAATTCTAAATATAGGACAAAGAAGTAATAGTTAATTTTGTAATCTTGTCCATCTTTAATTGTACTAAATTGTTGACAAAAATTTAAAATTTTAGACACAATTTATTGCGGTTATTAATTAATTTCAATGAAGGGTATAGGTAAAAAGTTCAACATTTTTTTGTACAAGTTCAAGGATGCTGCTCCTTCTAATTATATTTATGAGTTAACTTTAACATATTTTATCAAAATTATAAAATATTATAAAAATTATTAACTCTCTTTAAAAATTTAATAAATTTCTTACTTTATATTTATTAAGTATACATAATTTAATAATATACAAGTTGTTTGCTTTTACCTTTGGAAAAAAAAAGTACTTCTTCTTATTGACATTTAATTGAGGGTAAAGAGAAGTTTGTAATAGAATATGATTTATAAATAGTTTCAAGAAAATATTTTTTTCTTTATAAAAAAAGATAAGAGAAAATATCTGTCATTTTTAAAAAATTATGGGGTTAGTTAACTTCATTCTGTAAGTAGGCTATAGGAATGTAGGGAAAAAGTATGAAAATATTTCCACCATCTAATTTGAGATAAGATTATGTATAAATAAAAATTAATGATAATATTTTACAGACTTAGTTTTTCAGAATAACATTATAAATTTTTAAAAATACACTTTATTTAATTGTATAATATTAAATTCAAAATAATTTCAATGTTAGAAAAACATTATTAATAAAAATTTATTTTTATTAAATTATTTTATATTTTGAGATAATGAAATATCTATAAAGTTATTTTATATTTTCTCTATCATGAATTATAAAATACTTTTAGGATATATTCAATGTCCTAAAGTTTTATTAATAATAAATTTATAATATTACTTTTCACATATTCCCTTTTTTTTAATATTCTTTTAAAATTCTTGCATGGATTTGATACATCATATCATTTATACTTCCTTTAATAAAAGCATGTCGTTTATAATTTTATATTGCTATAAATATAAATTAATTTTAAAAAAAATTAGTCATTTGGTTTTTATAATTTTAATTTAATTGTAACTCAGTTCCTTTACTTTGATTTATTATAACTCAATTTCTGAACTTTATCCCTTACAATTTAGTCCTTGAAATTTTGACCTTTTAAATATTATAATTTTATTTTAAAAAAATTATAAATATTAAATTTTTTTAAAATTTTAATATTTAAAAATATTAAAAGGGTTTAGTAATTTAAAATATTAGTAATTAATTTTAAAATATTTTTAATCTTTATAATTTTATTTTTTTAAAATAAAGAAACTAATATTTTAAGAGGTTAAAACTTTAGGGACTAAATTGTAAGAAAAAAAATTTAAAAACTAATTTACAACTGAGTCAAAATTTTAAGAATTGAGTTATAACAAGTCAAAGTTCAGGAATTTAGTTACAACTTGATCAAAACTATAAGATTAAATAATTAATTTTATCATTAATAAAAAACAACAATTAAGAGAGAAAAACAATGATATAATCTCTTTGTTTAGAAATGTAAAATATTTGTCAAACTAATTATATTTTTTTATATTTACCCTTATTTAATAGGGTATTTCATTTTAAAATTAATACAAAGTGATTTATTTAATAATTTTTTTTAAAAAATAATAATTATACTTTAAAAAATATTTTATATTTTTAATATTCAATTATTAAAAAATATTTTATATTTTTAATGAAAGAAATATAAGATTTATTGAAGTAATTGGTATAATTTTATTAAATAAAATATATACATGATGCATAGAGTTCCGGTAAGAATTTTTTGATAAATTTTATTAATATAAAGATATTTTATAAATCAGAAGATGAAGAGAAACGTGGAGGACGTATATAGGACCAAAACGGAGTGCATTAATTGGGAATGAAGGGACATAGAGACAGCCAGACAGGTAGCAGTTGAGGGGCATTGAATGGGTGTCGGAGTCATCTCAGATTGTCAGTCCCCTACAATGCAATTATTGACTCCAACCTCTCCCATTTAAGTGGGATAGGTGCCTGCACTTTGAATTTATTGAATTAAATTATTTTAAATTATTTAAATAAAATTTTAAATAATACTCTTTTTATTTTAAATGATAAAAAAATTTAACATTTTAATATATAAATATTTTAATAAAAATAAAATTTTATTAATATTTATTTAATATTATATATTTTTATATTTTTAATATTATTTTATTAATAGAGTATTAAATAAATAATATTTTTAAATTTTTTATTTTTATTTTAAAAAAATAAAATTGTAAAATACATTTAATAAGTTTTATTGACATTTAAGATGTTATTTAAAAATATCTTAATTATAATTTAAGATGAAGGGAGTATTATTTTAATTAATTTTATTTTTAAAATAAAATATATATTTAATTTTTTATATTTTTTATATTATAATTAATATTAAAATTAATTTATATTTAATGTTATTTAAATATTATTTTTTATTAAATAGATCATAAATAACGCGGCTCACTTGTTATAGCTAAAAATTTGTCTTCCATTTGCTTCTCCACTTTCTTTATCTCTCCCCCCCACCCCTTTTTTTTTTTACCAAAACAATTTCTTAATGTCTACAGTAAACTACTACAATTCATGATATTAATGATAGTTAAAAATTTAAGATATTTTTTAAAAATAATAGTAAATAAAGTAGAGAGATAGTTATGAAAATAATAACAAAGCTGCTACCCTCTAATAAAATATAAATAATTTTTAACAATAATTTACATATTAATAAAATTCTTATTTTTATAAAATTATACATTGTTTTTCTTTTTTGCTCTAGTGATGAGTGAGAAAAAGATTATAAATTCATAAACACAAGAATCTAAATTAAAAAATACAAGGTTTAAAATGTAAAAATATTTACAAATATTAAGTTGCTTCTATTTTAGATTAAGATTAGCTTTAAAAAAAAAACTTATATTTTGAATTGAAAAGAGTACTAAATGTTTTATACTTTAAACTAAGTAATACTTTTAGAGAATGGTTTGTATTGTGATAAGAGGGAGTATAATCCTAATCTATATTCTCTTAGTACTTTTGGATATATATTGGAAATCAAGAATGCTTTGTATTTTTTAAAATTTATTTTTATATTAATTAATATGTACATAAGAAATGTAATATAACTAAGCAGCGTTTTCCACTTTTCATGATAAAAGGGTTAAGGGCAAAAATTAAACTAATAAAGAACATTTCGTTTTTTATAAAGTAAAAAAATAATAATAATGCTTATTGGCATGTCGAATGTAGTTAGAAATATTTTATAATTGAGATTAGAGAAACTACATGTCACTTTAAAAAATTTAAACAATTCTAATTACTATTTTTAATCATATCTTTCTTTTTCGTTGAGAGTGACTTAATTCTAATGTAAATAATTTATATTTATAAGAATAGTAGAAAAATCGAAGGAAAATTTACTAGAGAGAATGATATCTAATCATTTATAATAAAATAAAGAATATGAAAAATTTATTAGTTTTGAAATGATTAGATACAAACATCTTAAATGTATAAGTTTTTTCTTAAACATAGGAGTGATTATTTTGCTTTGCTAATCAGTGTACTTTTTTGTTTAATTAAGAATAACTCTTTCAGTATAATTTTATTTGCAATAGTGAGAATGACAATTAAGAACCTCATGATAAGATTAAGGCTAAATCAAGATTATTCTAGTACTGAAACATGTGAGAAAAAGTATTGAATTTAAAAATTTTAATTGTAAATAGATCTTAGTTTAATATTACTCCCTTCATCCCAAATTATAAGATATTTTTGAAGGTGGTTTTTCACCCCAAAATATAAAATACTTTTTATAAATTAATTTTTAATTAAATATATTAATTTTAATATTACCTTTTATCTCTCTATGGTTAATTTTTATCTTTTTTCTTTTCAATATATTAAATGATGGATATTTTTAAAAATTTATATGTTTTTTTTAAAAAGATAAAATTATTAGGTGTATTTAATGAGGACTATTAATATGTAAAATTTAATTAAAAAATGTCTTATAATTTATGATAAAAGAATTAATTTTTATAAGGTTATTATTGGTCATCTTTCCTTTCTATTCAAATCCCTAATTTTACGGATAAATGATTTATTTTCACTTAACTACTGTTGATGCTAATATCAATAAGAATGGTCAAAACATGGCCCACACAATGTGAGCTTTGTAAAGGAGAATGGAAATAAAATCTTTTAAAAAATATAAATGATAAATAAATACAACAAAATATAATAATTAGTTTTTAATCTCCAAGAAACTTAACTGTCATTTTAGTTTTACGCGAATTGGTATATTTACCCCAAATCTTTCTCCCTCCCCTCCTACTTTGATTCTGGTGACCCATCCTACACCGCTACAGCAACATTCATGGTGAAAGCCCAAGTCTTCTCAACATGTAAAAGCATCGCAAGATTTAAAGCAAAAGCACAAACGCATTTGTCCCAAAGATTTTAATGTTCATATGAAAACTTGAGTGATCCCTTAAACATGGGAACTCTATGATGAACCGAGGGATGAACCAGAACACCAAACAATGGCAACATAGGAAAGCAAGGTGACGGGGTTAAGTGAAATGGGCGAAGGGTGTCTCCACTTCCATTCTGTGCATTTCTCCTCCATTTCTTCAAAACGACGTCGTTTTGATTAGTGGTGAAATCTCCATCGTTCATTTCTTGTTGCGATCCTGACCGTCTGCATCATTGTCCATCCTCACACCCTCTGACGCAGCCCTCTCCCTCTCGGCACTACTCTCTTCCTTCGTCTCGCTCTCGGTCGTCGGCTCTATGGGGAGGATATCTGAGAGACTTATCTCGGCGCTCTCCATCCTCACACCCTCAGACGCAACCCTCGCCCTCTCGACACTGCTCTCGTCCTTCGTCTCGCTCTCGGTCGTCGGCTCTATGGGGAGGATATATGAGAGACTGATCTCGGCGCTCCGGTCTGAAGTCTGAACCGAATCGTCGTCTCAGTCCTCCGAGCCCCACCTGGCCACCTTCCAACTAACTCCACTTTCACCAGCGCCATTGGACCAGCATCGAGCTTCAACTCCAGCTTCCTCACTTCTCTTCACCTCGTCTTCTCCCTGTTGACCTCTTTGATCTCGCCGTCGGCTTAATTATCTCCTCATCTAGGTCAGTGTTTTGCTCTGTTTATCTCTTCATTGGGGTTGTTGTTAGACAAAATTGATGAAGATTTGGGATCCATCAATAGTGAGATCATTCAAATGAGGATCATTATGAATCAGGCTGCGTCAAAGATGTAGAGCATTGAGGCAATGTTACTACAATTATGATTATTTTGCTGCAAGGTGTCTCCATTGCCAGTTTTCATGAGTCAAATTTGGTGAGGCCATTTATTTTTACTTTTGACCAGGGATGAATTGACTGCTCTAATAATGAGGTGTTCGCTTCTCCAATGGTACACCATTTTATTTTTGCTTTGTTTTGTTTTTGTTTTTGCAAGACATCTAAAGTTTACCTTGAAATCCAAGATCTAACGGAAGAAATTACAGAGCTAAAGAGGGGGATAAAAAAGGCAAATGACAGGTGAGAAAAGACATGGGCATGAGAGAATAGACTGATGGAGAGAGGAGCTGATATAGAGAGCAAAGAGAGATGACATAGAAGAGATTAGAGGGAGGAAATGTAAAGGGAGACACAGAATCTTCTTCTTAATATTGTGGCAGAAGAAAAGAGAGAAGAAACCAAATATAAGGCAGAAAGGGTACTGAACAGAAAAACAAGGTATGTCCATTCACGCATAGCAGCTACGTGTGGAAGACATTTCTTGTCTCCTGTGTGTCTTCCTCGTTACCAGATTAGTATTTAATTTTTAGTATGGCAAGTTGATATTAAGTAACTTAGTTTTTACTCATTAAAGATCTCTACAAGTTTCTCAATGATCTAGTGGAAAAGAATTTGCTGTGCTTGGTTTGGGTGGCAAGACATGGTTATGCATGTCTTTCTTTTAATGTTGTTCAGTGTCTAGCTCAACATTGAGGACAAGGTTGATTTTCTTTTTTAATCCAACAGACAAGGTTGATTTATATCGGGGAATAATGATTGGAATATGGTGAGAATGGTGATAATCTCACATGTCAAGAATATAAGAAGAAGGTAATTGGGACTGTGTGCTGGTTAGGTCAATGGCGATTTGCTTTCTTCTTTACTTTCATTTTTTTCTCCATCACCTTCTTTTGCCATATTTACTATGTGAAAGTATTTTATACCTCTTTCCCTGTTTCTCCTTCTATGCATTTGGCTTGTGCTTCTTTCATAGACTATATCCTAGCAGTTTTTTTATGCCTGTTATTTAAATTCTACTCAGAACTAACTCTCCTCTCTATGGTTATGTATATTGATGAGGAGCAATGACAATGGATATATTATTTTTCTCTTGTTTTCTCCACTTTGGTAACTTGGTGTTGGTTTATGATTGACCTGACCCAACTGATTCTTATGTAATATGAGTGAGGTTGAGAGAGATGGTAAGTGATTTTGAAGCTTTCTCATGTATGGTTCATTGTAACATTTATTTCATTCAGGCTAGATGTTTCCTCACAAGTTGGTTCAGTTTTAATATATATATATATATATATATTTGAGGAACAGTGCTTAATATTTTCTTAATTCCTAAGGTTTTTCTTATTCACCTTGGTCTAAAGATCAAAAGTTGCCAAGCCCATAGTCAAAATCAACTTTACGCATGCATTAGAACTTTGCACATACAGTACAAATTTGCCAAGCCCAGCTGCAACTGTAAATTGACTAGAGACCACCTAATCATTTAGGAATTTCCTTGCTTCATTTTCTTCTTTGTCTAAGGATAATTCTTTTACACTCTATAAATTGTGCAGATTTCAAAAACAGAAATTTGTTTCGGCTTTACAAAATGGGAAGAAGCAAGCTTACAAGTATATAGTAAAGCAAGCTTACAAGTATACAAAATGAGTCTAGGCAGCATTATAGCAAAAGAACAAACATCAAAGCAAGGAGCTAGCATGACAAAAAAGAGGACCAGCCCACAAGTGTATACTGCTAAGAACAGAATGGAGACTGAAGCAAGAGGCTAGGACTGAAATGAAGACTTCACAACTGAGGATTTGTATTCACATTCAGATTTGAATCTGTAACATTGTAACAATTTATATTCAAACAATGTAATGTAATTGAATTGTAATAGAAGTTTCAATACATTTAGACAATGATTTACCTTTCTCAAATACTTGACTAAATTCAATTGCTTCAAGTGACTTCACATTGTTGTTCAATGAATCCTACAAACACAAAGATAAAATGACAATAGTATGAAATATGCTGTGAATGACATTTAAGTTAGTTGAGAATAAGAACTTGAAATATAATATCTTTACCATCGTCAATGTTGTGAATGACATTTGACTTACTTGAAGTGGATCATGTTGTGTTGTTATTGGTGTATTTGGCACAGGCAGACCATATTGCCCTTACACTAGCATACCTAACACGGGGGGGCTATATTGCCCTTGTACCGGCATCCTTGACACGGTGGGGCCATATTGCCCTTGTACCGGCATCCTTGACACGGTGGGGCCATATTGCCCTTGCACTAGCATACTTGACACGGGAGGACCATATAGCATTTGCACAGGCATACTTGGTACGAGGGGGCCATTTTGCACTTGCACATACGCCATTTTGCACTTACTTGGCACAAGGGGGCCATTTTGCACTTGCACCGACATACTTGGCACAAGGGGGCCAGTTTGCACTTGCACCGACATACTTGGCACAAGGGGGCCAGTTTGCACTTGCACCGGTATATTTGACACAATGGGGCCACATTGCACTTGCACCGGCATATTTGACACAGGGGGGCCACATTGCACTTGCACCAGCATATTTGACACAGGGGGGTCATTTTGCACTTGCACTGGCATATTTGACACAAGGGAGCCATATTGTACCGAAGATGATGATCTACCCACTTCTAATATATTTTGTGTGTCCTGCAACAATATCGGTTAAATGTCATAAAAAAAATCATGCTAATAAAAATTCAAAGTAAAATAATTATACCTTTGAACATTGTGAAGACTTGTTAGTAGATTTTTTTAAAGTCTTAACTTTTTTTCTTTTTTGACTTGGATTGTCGACCCAACTTGGACTAATCTTTTTGCGCTCTCTCTTCTTGAATCCAATGCCTGAACCATCATTCTTACCAACATCATCATCAACACCTCCTTCATTATTAACACTATCTGATGAGTGGTTAATAAGAAGTTGAGACACTTTCTTGCTAAGCTCTAGCACTGCTTGATGAACCATAGAGAATGCCTCTGAACATTCAGATGCATCACTAGCTAATTTTATGAGCATGGGGCACAATTGCCTATATCGATTCGAGCATTCTAGTTTAGGATCAACTTCAATTTCCTTTCCCTTACTATCATGCACTACACCACACCTTGCTTCTTTTGTCCACCTCTTTAACACATATTGCTTTGGAAGTAGCTTTACATCTTGGTCATACAATATCCTCAATGCATGACAGCATAGTATTCCCCATTGTTCAAACTTCTTACAATTACAAGTAATGACAGCCTCTTTATCTTCTCTTGATGGCTCAAATGTCAATCTCCACTCTCCTTTTTTATCAACCATTGTGATTACATAATCAATAACAAGAGCATCATCATCTGCAGCTATTTTTCTTTCTTTCCTCTCTTTTATACACGTAGCATCACGTAAGTCATACTCATGCTGGAACAAGTCAAAAATTGGTGGTGTGTAAACTTGAGAAAGCTGTTGCAGCATAGACGAACTCTTCAATATCAACCTTGGCAACTTCTGGCGTGAGTTGAAGTCACTTTGCAATTCATTATACCGCTTATCCACAACAACTTGTTCAAAGACATTGAAGAATTGACTAATATTCAATTCAGGATTAGTGCAACTTTTTATAAATGAATTGATACTTTCACTAAGTTGTGTACTTCTCATACCAAGAGTCTTTGAGTACTTCATGTAACATGCTGCCCATTTTTCTTTTAACTTGTAAATAGACATCAACCATGGATTTTCTTCTACATTATATTTTGATAATAATTCTTTCCAAGATTCCTCAAACCTTGTTTCTTCCTTGCAATGATACATGCACCAATTAAACTCACCCAGAAAACGAGAGCCATCTTTCATTAAGTTTCCAAGATGTTTCACCCCATTTCTATTGATGTGGAATGTGCATAAGCCATGCTTTACATTTGGCATTATTTCTTCTAAGGCTCTTGCCATTGCTGCATCTTGGTCAGTAAACATAGTAAATGGCATTTTTTGCTTATGTGCTTGTAAAAAGGTTTCAAAAAGCCATTTAAAAGACTCAATAGTCTCATCATATAATAAAGCAGCACCAAATATCACTACTTCTCTGTAATGGTTGAAACCTGAGAAAATGGCAAGTGGTCTGTTGTCACGATTTGTAGAGTATGTTGTATCAAATGAAATGACATCCCCAAAACAATCATAATCTATCAACATACGTGTATCAGCCCAAAACACATTAGTTATCTGCTCTTCTGAGTCCATTTGATAAGCATGAAAAAATGAAGGATTTTTTGTCAATTGTTGTTGAAAATAGCGAAGTAAAAACCCAGCTTCACCATAGATCATGTCTCGTTGCCTCCTTGATCTTAGATAACTCTTTACCTCCTCTTTGGTATACCCCAAATTAGCCCTCCCTCCTGCATATTTGCTCATTAAATTAAAAGAGGCTTTTTGCTTAATCCCCGTATCTTCAGCAAACTCCAAAGCATAGCCTTGTGCTTTCGGTAATCTCCTTTGTGATGCTAATAAATGAATAGTCTCTGGGGGCTCTAAAGGGTGATTATGGTCCAAAAATAGTTCACTAACTCTAAATCTTTCATTCACCTTTTTAATTATCATTTTCACTTCACACCCTGTTCTTGTTTCCTTTCGAGGCTTCTTAGTTTTAAAGTCTCTTTTATCTGCTTTTTTCACTCCCTCCTTGGAACAAACATATTTGCAATATATGATAGAATCATCCTTCTTGCTCTTATTAGAGTTTTGCTTTCTAACACTGAATCCTATTCTTCCACCATAGTCAATCCAATATTGCCATGCCTCTTCTAGATCATCAAATTCAAGACCAACTATTAGAGTCATACTTGTGTCCATTACTTAAAGCTAACAAGAAAAGCTGAAAAACAAAAACACTAAAACCAAGAGTAAGCAGATAAAAAAATAAATAAACACTGTTATTCATGAGAGTTAACAAAAAACTATTAATGAATTTAAAAATAACCTAAGAGCTTGGTGATGCATTCATTTATGCAAAGCTAAGGGATAATAATGTGTTAAATGGTCAGCATTACTTTCTTGTAGTTGTGACTGTCATCAAAAAAATTTCTGTGCAGCACAAGTCCATGGCAAATTAGTAATGTGTTTCAAAATTAATTTAAACATAAAAACAGGGGAGGAAAATGACCAATGTAAGGGAGAAAGAGAGAGAGAATGGCAACCACGTTCAGCAAGTTTTAAGTTTAAATGAGGGATAGAAATGATCAACAAATAGGAAAAAAATGGAACCATACCAAATTATAATCAAAATCCTTCCTTAATCGAAATATTTTCTTGGTCAGAATTTCTTTTTGCTGTGTGAGCACATTTCTGTTCTGGAAGAGTGAGAAAAACAGAGGTTTCCGAGCGCGCTGGTGGAGATAAAAATAACGCATTATTTGGCTTTCTTTTGTCTTTTTTCCTCCCACTTAGACGATGCCGTTTTGAGAAGTGGAGGGAAATGCACCAAATGAAAAATGGAGACACCCTCAGCGCTAAGTGAAATGCCCTTGTAATTCAGCAAAATCTACAAACTAACGCCCTAGGCATCTAATTTAGCTTCACACCGTAAACTACAAAATCGCAACCCCAGGAGTTGACATCATGTTAACCATGGTTTCACTCTCGAAACTCTCCTTAAACGTAACCCCCAATTGAATAAACAATAACAGCAACAAGCACAAGTGCTTTAAACATCTAAAAAAAAGGAAATAGAGAGGTGTATATATGCAGGATTGGAGAACCATAAGGAAAGAGAGTAAAGTGCACTGATGGGCACAACAAACTGGAGGTAGAGTTCGTGGGACATGCAGACGGGCTCAATGAGATTCAAGACGCAAACAAGGGGCCAACTTTATATCTTGTGGTTGAAGATGTAATTGTTGTAGATGATGATAATGAAGCTGATAATGAAGCTAAGGGATATCCATATGACGACACAGAAATTTAATCATTTTAGCCAGGGCTGGCCAGAAATCATGTATGCAAGGAGGGGGAGAGAAGTCGAAGAGCATATAGGATGGGGAATCAATCAATCTCTCTCTCTCTCTCTCTCTCTCTCTCTCTCTCTCTTTCACAGCGTAAATTAAATTTTCAACCAAGTCCCTAGGGATCATAAAATAATTTTCACATTTCCTCTTACCTAGTTATCGTTTGTATATTTTAAAAAGATTTTATTATGATTCTTTCTTATTTAAATAGGTACACTATCTTGTTTATTTAATAGATATCTTAAATTTGAAACTATTATTATGGATGGAAATAAGCTATGTGAAGTTAGATATTGATCACGCAGCCTCTGAGTGAGTGCGGTGAGTAAGAAAGCTAGTGTGAGAGAGAGTCCTAGGGCTAGGTCAAGTGTGAGTGGTGGTGATCTATTAGGTGTATCAAGTAAGACAAAACCTGATCAACTGACAATAGAGGAGATGGATGCGTTGGGAAGGAGCGTCCATAGACCTAATGAAGATACAGTTATGGAAGAGAGTTCTTTGAAGAACAGCAATCAGAGTTCTATAGGTAGGAGGGGTTCTACAACTCCTCTATTTTCTTACAAGACTTCCTTGCTGGGTCACTAACCTTAGAAAGAGGAGCAGAGCTTTGAAGATCTGGTTAATGAATGGTTAGCAGAGGAAGAGAAGGAAGCACCCAAGCTTACACCTAAGTAGTAAAGCATCATCAATAATCTCCTTAAAGTGTCGGTAATAGATGAGAAATGGGTTGAACTTTGTAAACCATGAAAAGATGCCTTAGTTATCACGTTGTTAGGATGGCATTTGAACAAGTTTCAGTTGAAGGAAAGGCTAGATATTCTCTGGGGATTCAAGAATTATGAACTTATTGACTTAGCTAATAATTATTTTGCAATGCATTTTTTTGAACCTTATTAGTATAAGAAAGCTCAACAGGGGTCCATGGGTGATCCAAGGGCACTATCTTGCCATTCAAAAGTAGAGTCTGAATTTTAACCCTTTTAATAATACATTGAAAAAGCTAGCTATTTAGGTTAGAGTTCCCATTCTTCCCCTACACTGTTATAATGAAGAGATTTTGAGAGAGTTGAGAAGCTTGATTGGCAAGGTCTTAAAGATAGATTTGAATATGCTTTCCTAAGTGCCTAAAAGGAATCATACTATTGAAAGAGGAAACTTTACACATATTAGTGTTGAGATTGATCTATCTAAATGTCTTTCTTCTAATTTTGTGATTAAAAGACAAGTTTTTACTGTTGCCTATAAAGGTCTAAGTATCATTTGTTTTGGATGTGGCCGTTTTGATCATAGTAAAGAGCAGTGTCCCTTTTCAAATCCCCTATTAAATCTAGTGTCAACATCTCAAGCTAAGAAGGAAGGGAGTCAAGGTGATACTTCAATGCCTATGGGTCATACCCTTTAGGCAAAGCAAGCAGAGGTAAGAAATAATTTTGAGTAGATGATAAATATACTCTTGGAGGAGGATCTGGGTTTATAGATATTGTCTCTATGGACAAATAAATGAAGATTTCAGAAGAGAAAGGATAATTAAAGTTCCAACAATCAAATGCCAAAGTAGGTTTTAAGCCTTAAGGTATAGCTAAAACCCAGTTAGGTATCTATTCCTTAAGATTTTCTATGTTGGCAGAAGATATTATGGAAACAGAAGGGGCAGAAGGAGTGACTAGCAATGTCAATAGTCGTACGACTCAACAATAGAGAATAAAGGAGGTTGCAGAGGGAGTATCAAAAGGGAAATCTATGGCTATTAGTAGTATGTCACCTATGGAAAGGAGAAGGAAGAGTTCAAATTCCAAGCAAAGAGTCAGGTTTGAGAAGAAAAAGGTAGTGCATAAGGAGCTTCATCAAGCTACAGCAAAAGCCCCAAGAAAAAAGGAGCATTTTCAAACAAAAAGGAAAGTCCAAAAACTAATGTGTCAAAAAGAAGCCAGGCCTAAAGGCCTAAGATCCTGTCACTAGTATTAAAAAGAAAGTCTTTCTCTAGGTTACGCAATGTTATCTCAAGCTCTATAAATGTAAGAAGTCCCTTAAACTTGAGCCAGTTTGAGCAAATCTAAAGCTTAAGACCCAATAATGCTCTAAAGGAGTTTAATCAAGAACCTACAACAAGACAAGAAATGGGACAGAAGCATATTGATATCCTAAACCTAAGTGGCCCTTATCATCCACCCCAACCTCTTGATCGGCTTCTATCATGGATATGACAGAGGTTATTGTGGAATAAAACCATGACAAAGCTCTAAAGGAGTGGTTTAAGATGGAAACAATTAATAAAGAGGGAGGCCCTAGTGCTCACAGTTTGGGAGGTGGTTTGCAAAATTAATATTTACTGCAATGTCACTTTTCTTATCTTTGTTATATTTATGAATTTAATCTCTTAAAGTTGTAGAGGTGTTGCCTTTAAAACTTTTTATTTGAGAATTAGAGATTTGTTAAAAGGAAAGAAAATAGATATTCTTACTCTTATTAAAACCATGATTAGTGGACCTAGAGCTGATAAAGTTGTCCGAAAACTTGGATTTTCTAATTGGCTAAGGGTGAAGGCTACTGGCTATGCTGGGGGTATTTAGTTGCTTTGGAACGAATCAGATACTAATGTGGAATATATCTGGTCTATAACCCTTATTACATTTTAGAGTAAAGAAAGTAGGATCAGATAAAGCTTTTAGGCTAACAAATGTGTACAATGAACCTAATTATCTTCTGAGAAAACACCTTTAGAGGGATATTGGAATCATTAGTAGTACTATGGGTGAACCTTGGTTAGTAATGGGAGATTTTAATGCTTATTTGAATATGGAAGACAAGCAAGGAGTCCAAGTAAACACCACCTCTATGAGACAATTTCAAGAGTGCATTCAACAATCTCACCTCCTGAATCTTAAGATTGAAGGAGAGAGATTTATTTGGGAGAGAAATGAGGTCAAAGAATGCATTGATTGGGCATTTATAAATTTACAATGGCAACTTCAGTTTCCCTACTCTTGTGTCAAACACATGTGTAAGTTTGGATCTAATCGTCACCCTATTTTTATGAGCACCATTCCTAATCCTTTTGAGTAATAGAGTCCACAACTTTTCAGATGTAATGTACCCTGATATGTTAAAAGAGGATTTTAGTAATTTAATTAAAAATTATTAGGTTGGTGACTCAGAATGATAAGATTTCTACTTTCCAGCATTTTGCTATTAACTAGAATACTAATCACGTTAATAATATCCCTGTTAGAAAACGTTGTTTGATAAGAAGAATTGAAGGGTAGAAAGAGCAAGAAGTAATAGAGATAATCAGTACCTAAGTCAGGTTGAACAAGAGCTTTGGGATCAGTATAATAAAACCTTGCAGCAAGAGGAATTAACATGATACCAAAAGTCACACTATAATTGGTTAGCTTGAGGGGATTAGAACACTAAATTCTTCCATGCTAGCACAATTATAAGAAGACAGAGGAACAAGATTACTACTCTCAAAGATTCAGCAGAGAATTAGGTTTCAGATAGGGAGGAGCTTAAAAATCTAGCCTGTAATTACTATGAAGAGCTATTCAAAAGTGATCATAATAGATTTTTAAGAATTGAGTCTAACTTCCTAGCTCTGAAAGAATGGGAAATCTCTACTCTGTATAAAGATGTTAGTGTAAAGGAAATCAAGAAGGCTATGTTTGTATGGATGGATATAAAGCCCTGAGTCCTGATGGTATTCAAGCATTTTTCTATCAACAGTATTGGGATACTTTTTTAGGGAGTCTATTGTGAATTTGGTCAAGGATGTTTTTAATGATCCTGCAAAGGTAGGGGAGCTAAATAAAACTCACTTAATCCTTATAACTAAGGTTGAACACGTGGAGT